GATAATTATTATATTAATTCACACTAGAGGACATTTGAACGGATAAACGTGACAACACGGCGCACGAATTATTGTGGGCGGTGTCTTGTCGGTTCTCAGTATTCAGCACATTGTTGCCAAGTCTTCAACATCTACATGATATTTTGTTATGAAGTATAAGAAATATTTGGACATGCTGGTTGCTCAAAAAAGTCAAGAATTTTTTTATTTTTTTTATCGCTTGGAGCGCACGAAAGGAAACCCCTATAATGTTCAGAGAACATCTTGCGTTCCTAGGGACAGGAGGGTAGGTATTGGAATTTTTTTGAACTTCTGGAGATTATATGTTTTTCGGAATACTAAAAGAGATCATGACTACCTCCTATTATGTTTTATCTAGTGTTTTATTCTACGGCAGGATTCTTATATAATATCTTTCTGATGATTTGTTTATAATATTGGTCACTTGACAACTATGCTTCATGAGTGGGAATGGAATATTATCTGACCAATAACGAAACAGCATAAAAATTGACGTCACCATTTATTCGTCGTATCTCCAAATGGCGGCCATGACGCATACACTCATTATTTACATAAAAAAAGCTTGAGAGGTGTTGCAAAAATTAATTGTAGGTCCCTTACGACACATTGGAGTAAATGAATGCTGATAATTTATTTATCATCAGTCCACTCGCCCATTATGATACATCGTCGGCCCGGCTAGCCTGTGTCGCACCGGCCGCTAGTAGGCCGCCGGACTATCTGCCGACACTATTCGGTTGAAAAAGAAATAATACACCAAGGCAAAAATACTGCACCCGGACACGACTTTATCGAAAAATCACTAATAAAACACCTACATCACGAGATCCATCAATATATCATTCAAATAAATATATCAGTTTTGCTTAAAAAACAGCTATATTCCTAGAGAACGGAAAACCGGTACAATTGTTACAATTCCTACACCCAACATGGACCATTCAAAACCTATCAATTATAGACCAATTACATTGCTTCTAGTGCTATAGGAAAAAACCTTGAAAACATTATAAAAAATAGGCTACTGACATCAATAGGACCTCATATCCCAGGGTATCAGTTTGAATTCAGAAGTCATTGTTCTACAACTCACCCACTAGCAATACTCATCAACAATATGGAAGCGGCTAAGCTCAATGGCGACAAAACGGCAGCAATATTTCTAGACATTAATAAAGCATTCGACAGTGTATGGACGAAAGGCCTCAAATTCAAGCTAGATTCCCTCAACTGCCCGAAATATCTGATACACATTATAGACAATTCACTAAGTGAAAGGAATTTGAGAGTGAAAGTTCAAGACAAATTATCACACGAATTCACACGCCACAACAAGGAGTTCCACAGGGATCACCACTATCACCGCTACTCTAAAATTGTTCTAAAATTGTTGTTAAACATAATTATACTGTTCAAATATATACCACATGGACCCACAATATTTCAATTTCGATAATTACATACTAGAATATGCAGATGACATTGCCCTGGTCTCACAATGCAGAAGCTTGATTGCAGCCATTGAAAAACTCCAACAAAACAACGGCATGGTTCAATGAATGGCGACTGAAACCAAATCCAAGGACGTCACATTTAGTAATATTTTTCCATTCTCGACATCATCTGCATCTCCCACATTTACTTTGCATGACCATGAACTAAGATCTTAAAATGCTACAAAATACCTATAAATATGGACCACAAAATCAACTTCAATGTACTTACTGGAGATGTGAAAAGGAAAACCATATCAAGAGCAAAACATTTTCAATCAATGTCAAAAAAAATAACATGGCATCAATTTATACACAAAAACTGAAATATTCAAAATGATTTGCAGACCACTTCAGAAATTGAGAAATCCTGCCTTAAAAAATCTCAAAGTAGCTGAAACAACTGCTCTACTTTGTGCCAAGCTAGAAAGATATGGAATAAGAGGTTTGCCACTGAATTTAATAGATTCATATCTCAGCAGGAGGAAACAAATAATTAGAGTGAACAACACTTTTTCTGATGAAATGGATATCGAGCAAGGTGTGCCACAGGGTTCTGTTTTAGGTCCTCTTCTTTTCAATATTTTCGCTAACGATCTTATACTTTATATGCGGAAGATACAGAATGTTCATGTTACGTGTTATGCAGATGATACGAATGTATTGGTTATAGATGAAGATCTAAATAGGCTAAAAAGTACTGCTGAAATGGTTTATTCGAATATTGAGAAATGGTCAAAAAATAATAATCTACAACTTAATCATGGAAAAACAATAACTGTTCTTTTTGGTTCCAGCAGGATTGATGTAGTCAAACTATTTGAAGATTCTGATAATGAAATAACCAGCAGCATGTCAGTAAAACTATTGGGAGTTACTTTCGACAGGCAGCTTCATTGGGTTGATCATATCAATAATTTGTGCAAAAAATTACAGAGTAGCTGTTATAGTCTGAAATTTATGAAGAACCACTGCAGTCGGCACATACTACTCTCGTTGTACTATGTCAATTTCCATTCCCACATAAAGTACGGGATTTTGAATTGGGGCAATTGTGCTCATGTGAATAGAGTACTGGTTCTTCAGAAGTATGCAATTCGAATTCTTGCTAGTGTCGATATGAGAACAAGTTGCAGAGCATATTTCAGAACTGCCAACATCCTAACCGTAGTTAGTTTATACATACTAGAAGTTTGTTTATACGTTTATAAAAATAAAAACATGTTTTTGAATACTGTTGAGAAGCACGATCATAATACACGCTTTAAAAGCCACCTCCAACCTGAGAGACACCGGACTACGTTGTACCAGAAAAGTTTTCATTATACTGGTTGTAAACTATATAACTCTCTTGATGAACAACTTAAGAGCTCCAAAAACTTGAATATATTTAAAAAGAGGCTTAAACAACAGCTAATTCAAAAGGCTTGCTATACGCTGGATGAGTATTTTATGTAATTCTATGTAATGTTAGTAACGTGATGAATATATTGTATTTAATTGTGATGCTGTCGCATTGTTTGTTTGTTATATTTTTTCTTTTTTTTTGACGTACTTTACTGTTTCATGTTATACATTTAACAGAAAATAAAAATTATTATTATTATTATTATTACATCATTACCAGAACAAGACAGCCTAAGAATCCACCCAATAAACTATTGTATGAAACAACGAGAGTACAGTCTATTGAGGAAAGACTAGTCCACTTATCCTCCAAATTCAGTGAGAATGCCGAAAACAAAAATTTCATCTCCCCATTCTGTATCAGA